AGAAGTCTACTCGAGACGAGGAGAAGTCTACTCGAGACGAGGAGAAGTCTACTCGAGACGAGGAGAAGTCTACTCGAGACGAGGAGAAGTCTACTCGAGATGGGGAGAAGTCTACTCGAGACGAGGAGAAGTCTACTCGAGACGGGGAGAAGTCTACTCGAGACGGGGAGAAGTCTACTCGAGACGAGGAGAAGTCTACTCGAGACGAGGAGAAGTCTACTCGAGACGAGGAGAAGTCTACTCGAGACGAGGAGAAGTCTACTCGAGACGAGGAGAAGTCTACTCGAGACGAGGAGAAGTCTACTCGAGACGAGGAGAAGTCTACTCGAGAAGCAAATATAGTTTAGGATTACCTGTTTCAACATAGCTTCTTTGATGTATTTTCGTCCTCGGCAACCGTTGAAAGCCAGCACCGGTGGAGTTGGGTTGTCGGGAAGAGGATTTCCGTAATGCCTCCCAAAATCTGGCATAGCATAATACGCCCAAACTTGGAGCACTTCGGCAAACCCATAGAGAGTAACAGTCTTCGTCAAATCAGCTCTTTTGACAGACTCTATGAGGGTCTTGAAAGCCACTCTTCCCCACGGGTAATTTGCAAATGCCTCGACATCCATAACTAGCCTGGCATAGTTCAACCGTGTGGGTGAATCCATCTTCCTTGCCTCGATAAATCCAGCGAAGATGGATAAATATCCTAGCATAAGCTTCTCATCCCTTGTCCACTTCCCAGCACGCTTACATGCTTCAGTAAGTTCATCAACGGTGGGGCCAACATCTATACTAACGCCAAGCTTCTCCCAGAAATATTTCATCTCAGGAGTAACTTCTGCTTCCTCCAGTTCCTCAACATCCTCGCAGTTGAGACCGGTGAGTTGTTCAAACTCATTGAGTGAAAACCGAAGTGGGGTTGCATTTATGAGACTCCATATCTCATACTTCTTCTTGCAGTCCAGCTGAAAACCGAGTATAAACTGCACCACCCTCGACGCCCAGCCAAAATTCAGTTTGTAAAACTTTAGAAAAACACCAAGCCTTGATTCCAAAAGCTCTTCCCATATATCTGCTTCCAGTACTGCTTCCAATGCAGGAAACAACTTCCTACTGTTGCTGTAGTAGGCTATACTTTTCCCAGGTTGGGGCTCCTCGTCCTTTGTGAATAATCACCTTAGAAACTTGGGCTGCTTCTCCATCCTGCAAAACCAAAGATGGCATAAATATGTAAGAAATATATAATTATTAGCAAATGGCAGAAGTCTAGTTCAGAAAGAAGTCTACTTTTCTCAGAGAAGTCTACTCGCGAAAAAGTTTACTCGAGAAGAAGTCTACTTAGAGAAGTCTACTCGAAAGAGAAGTCTACTCGAGAAGAAGTCTACTTAGAGAAGTCTACTCGAAAGAGAAGTCTACTCGAGAAGAAGTCTACTCGAAAGAGAAGTCTACTCGAAAGCGAAGTCTACTCTAGAGAAGTCTACTTATACGAATTCTAAAATAAATCACTAGTTACATAAATTACCTTTGCGAACACTGAAATCCGGCGGAGACAACCAACAGCGTCGTCGACATCTGTAAATCCAAACAAAAAATTTCCAAATTAGTGGCGGCGATGATATCTAGGGCAAAAAATTGAATCTAACAGATGCCGGACAAAGAGAAATGAGGACAGAATTACCAGCAGTAACAAGGCGACGAGGCGATAAGGCAACAGAGGCGGCGATGAAAAGAGATGAACGAAATCGATTAAGGTCTATATACAGATAAAGAGATAAACAGAAGTGAGAGATCTGAGAGAGGAGAACAGAGATTACCTCCGTTGACAATTTACAAACGGTGGTGATGAGTTGAAGCAGCGGCGGCGACGACGGTATGAACGGCGACAGAAATGGCAAAAGAAATCGCCCAAACGCTGGTTACGAGTCGAGAGAAACTAGGGTTTGTGGAATGAGTTACTTTCTGGTAAAAATGAAATATATAGGCCGGTTAAAAATGAGTTAGTAATATTATTCGGTTTAGTGATTATTTTTATTTTACTCGGACATAACCGGTCAAAGAAGTCTACTTTTGATTCTAATTCGGTAAGAGAAGTCTACTAGATAGAAGTCTACTTTGGTCCGAGACGTCTACTCGAGAGAAGTCTACTTCGGTCCGAGAAGTCTACTTAACCCTAAACCCTAAATCAATTTTTTTTTAATTAAAACTTATATGAAAACATTAATTACTTACCATATTGACAAGTCATAGTTAAAATAACAAATATATGAACCATGATTCATTAACTGAACCATAAACTATGATTCATATAGAATTTGTGCAAACCCTAAGAATTACACTCTTATACCCTAAACCCTAAACCTCAACCCTAACCCTTTTGATTTGTATACTTATGAAACTTATAAATTGATTCATTTTCATGATTTTTTTATACAGATGCTAAATGTATCTTTTTTAATTGTGTATATAATGTTTTTACCAAATTATTTTTCATAATTTTTAAAATTAGTGGTAAAGAAATTAAAATAAAGTAGACTTCTCCAAGAAGTCTACTCCTGAGAAGTCTATTTTAGAATCCGAGAAGTCTACTTAGTATTGATTTCTAACCTAATTTATCTATGATTATTTTAATTAATTATTTTGTGTCAAATTTTATTTTTAATAGGTGTAAAAAGTATATGTTTTTGTTATTTTGATAATTTTTTCACCAAATTATTTTTCATAATTTTTTTAATTAATGGTAAATACATTATTCCAGAGTAGACTTCTCGACTTCTCGGAGAAGTCTACTCGAGAAGTCTACTCGAGCTCAAGTAGACTTCTCGGAGATAAAATAGTCATTGCGACGAGCGTTTTTTGTTTGGTCAGAAGGGATAATATTGTAATTTCACTACCCCTGTGAGTTATTTTTTGTCAAACATGCAATAGGGGGTCTAGTTTTGCAATTCAAATCAAGTTTTGAGTCATATTCAGCAATTCCCCCATGATATTATTACTTACTTTATAGATGATTCTTAGGCGACGAATATGACATATAACATTTTTACTTACTTTTTTTGGTAAAATACCATAACATGATGATACTAATATTAACTGCTTAATTCTTTTTGAATCAATGTTTGATTTATCATATACCAAATTATCTGCAAGATTTGTTTGTCTTTCTTTTGATTTTTTTAGTGGTTAGAAAATATTTCAATTTGTTAATATTTTAAATAAATTACCAAAAAGTTTAAGTTTGCCGGCTTTAAATCAATCAATATATTTACAATAGAAATTCTATAAATTAGTAATATTGGGACTTTTTCTATTCATTTATCTGGTTTTAAATTAAATAAATAAATAAAAATAATATTTGTTTAGAAATTTAATGATATCTTTAAATATTTTACTTTTAAATTGTAGATAAACCATAACATTATTTCAACTTTAATAAAAACAAACAATTATATATTCATATTTTAGTAAACTATCGTAGTTATATATTAATATAAGATTAATTTATGGTAATTATTAATTTATGAAATTAATGAAACTATATATTTACATAAGTTTTTTTTTAAAAAAGAACTTAGGCTTTTTTAGTAATTTATATTTACATATTGTATTTTATAAGTATACAAACTTTCGATCAATGCTCATTGATAAACGGCATTAAAGAGCAATCTATGCTTTTATATGCAAATTTATTTATTAAAATACTTTTATATTTTGAAAAATATTTTGGAGTTAATAATTGTTTTTTGTAACAAAACTAATTATTTACATTAATTTATGGTTATAGCTGTTGCTTTTCTAATTTTGTTGTGTTGTATATATTTTTTGTTTCCAATTATTTTGATCGTAGACATATTCAAATACTTCTGATTTTAAATTTAGTTATCTACTTTTTATATTAAAATTCTGAATTTTTTACAAATTAACAATATAGTATATGCAAAGCTTTGGACATATGTGCAAACATTGAGTATTATTTATCACGAGATATATAAAATTTATATAGCGACTTCGTATTTTTACCCAACTAAACCTTGGATGATGTATATGTATATGATATTTAATTTTGAAATTAATGTATATGATAATTACTTAGTATAGTAATAAATTATGCGATTCTTTCAATGCCAAGAAATTTAAAATGCACGAAGAAGGACAAATACATTCTTTGTGAAGGTAATAATAGTGTTGTTGGTACTATACGTATTTTCGGTTATCAATACGGATTACTTTAAAGAGGTAGCTGGAAAAGAAGTAATTATTTTTTATCATTCAAATGAACACAATTAAATTATTATTATTTTCTAATGAATAATTGACCAATGACCATCGTTGTCTACCAATCCTATCTTTCCTTTTAGGTTTTCAATAATCAAACCTTCAAAGACTTTGACTATAAACAATTAGTTACTCTTATCTTTTTACATATTAGTATAGAAAACAACGACTAAAATCATTTTAAGTAGAATATGAAAACAAGAATTTAGCTAGTGAGAACCATCGTTGTCTACCAATCCTATCTTTCCTTTTAGGTTTTCAATAATCAAACCTTCAAAGACTTTGACTATAATCAATTAGTTACTCTTATCTTTTTACATATTAGTATAGAAAACAAGGACTAAAATCATTTTAAGTAGAATATGAAAACAAGAATTTAGCTAGTGCTTCTCATAAATTTTCCTTAAATATATGTGATAAGAGTGTGAATTGTGAATTGTTGTTATTTCAAGATTTGTCAAAGTAAACGGCTATATTTAAAGTGATTTTCTGGAGGAAAAAATAAATATTTAAAGAAAATCAAACTATTGACTGATTTATTTGTCATCTAGTCTCAAGTGATAGTCAACTCTCACGGCTCGTCAACGAAATGAATTTTGCCGATTATAAAAGACGAACACTTTAGATAGTGTTTGTATATATTGTGTATGAACAAAACAAACCCAGGAAAAAAAAACCCAATTCAATTTATCTCATTTCATGATCAATAGAGAGATATAGAGAAGAAAAAAAGAGAGAAAATGACTTGTAAAGACAGGCCTCAAGTCCTTTTGATCATTTTCACAATCTTGAGCTGTTCTCTTACAGCTTCTGCTACTGTTTCAGAAGCTAATGCTCTTCTAAAATGGAAGTCAACTTTCACAAACCAGACAAGATCTTCGAAGCTCTCTTCTTGGGTCAACCCAAACAGCTTCTGTACAACTTGGTACGGTGTTTCTTGCGTACGAGATAGCGTCGTACGGCTAAATCTTACCAATACTGGTATCGAAGGTACTTTCCAAGATTTTCCTTTCTCGTCTCTCCCAAATCTCACTTACGTTGATCTTAGCATGAACCGTTTCTCTGGAACCATCCCTCTTCAATTCGGACAATTCCCCAAACTCATCTACTTCGATTTGTCCATTAACCAATTAGTTGGTGAAATCCCACGTGAGCTTGGTAATCTAAGTAACCTAGAAACTCTCCATCTTGTAGAAAACAAGTTAAATGGATCGATTCCATCTGAAATCGGTTTGTTAACTAAGGTTCAAGAAATAGCCTTGTATGACAATCTCTTAACCGGACCAATACCTTCTTCTTTTGGAAACCTAACCAAACTAGCTAACCTTTACCTCTTTATCAATACTCTCTCTGGTCCGATCCCTCCTGAAATCGGAAACTTGCCAAACCTTAAAGAGCTATGCCTTGATAGAAACCACCTAACCGGTCAAATCCCTGCCAGTTTCGGAAACTTGAAGAATGTAACACTTCTCAACATGTTTGAGAACAGGCTCACTGGTGAAATCCCTCTTGAGATTGGTAATATGACCAATTTAGATACCCTTAGCCTCCACACAAATAACCTTACCGGTTCGATTCCTTCTACTTTAGGAAACCTCAAAAGCTTAGCCATTCTTCATCTTTACGCGAATAAGCTTAATGGTTCTATTCCTAAGGAATTAGGAGACATGGAATCAATGATTGATTTGGAGATAAGTGAGAACAAACTCACTGGTCCTGTTCCTAATTCGTTTGGCAAGTTATCTAAGCTTGAGTGGCTATTCCTCCGTGATAACCAGCTCTCTGGCCCGATCCCGCCGGGTATCGCAAACTCTTCGGCGCTAACCGTCCTGCAACTCGACACCAACAACTTCACCGGCGTCTTGCCTGATACCATCTGTAGCGGCGGCAAGCTCGAGAATCTCACGCTTGATGATAATCACCTCGAAGGTACCATTCCTAAAAGCTTGAGAGATTGTAAGACCTTGATCAGAGCAAGGTTCAAAGGGAATAGTTTCTCTGGAGATATCTCAGAGGCTTTCGGAGAGTACCCGAATCTCAACTTCATTGATCTCAGCAACAACAAGTTCCACGGAGAGATTTCACCGAGGTGGGAGAAAAGTCGAAAGCTGGTCGCGTTCATCGCGACTAACAACAACATCACCGGTCCTATCCCGCCGGAGATTTGGAACATGACACAGGTAAGCCAGCTCGACCTATCGTCCAACAGAATTTCCGGCGAGCTCCCGGAATCAATCAGCAGACTCAACCGTTTGTCGAAACTACAACTAAACGCTAATCGGCTATCCGGAAGAATCCCTTCAGGGATCAGACTCTTAGCTACTCTTGAGTATCTTGATCTCTCCTCAAACAGCTTCAGCTTTGAGATTCCGGCGACACTCGACTCCTTGCCAAGGCTTTACTACATGAACTTGAGCAGAAACGAGCTGGATCAAAACATCCCCATGGCTTTAACAAAGCTTTCTCAGCTACAAACTCTTGATCTCAGCCACAACCAGCTCGACGGAGAGATCCCATCACAGTTCAGCTCTTTACAGAACCTAGAGACACTCGACCTTTCACACAACAATCTCTCAGGTCCGATTCCAGAAAGTTTCAGAGACTTGCTTGCGCTAACGCACATCGACATATCACACAACAATCTCTCAGGTCCGATTCCAGATACGACAGCGTTTCGAAACGCAGCTCGAGATTCATTAGAAGGCAACAGAGGCTTATGTGGTAACACAACACAAGGCTTGAATCCATGTCCGATGAGTTCCTCAGGGAAGAAGAAATCAAACAAGGACAGAAACCTGATCATCTACATACTAGTCCCAATCGCCGGAGCAATCATAATCCTCTCAGTCTGCGCCGGAATATTCATTTGCTTCCGTAAGAGAAAGCCCCAAATCGAAGAGAATTCAGATTCAGAATCCGCAGAAACGTTATCGATCTTTAGCTTCGATGGTAAAGTAAGATACCAGGAAATCATCAAAGCTACAGGAGAATTCGACTCAAAACACCTAATCGGAACCGGAGGATGCGGCAAAGTCTACAAAGCAAAGCTCTCGACGGTAACGATGGCGGTGAAAAAGCTAAACGAGACAACGGACGAAGAAATCTCGAAACCGGCAGTGAAACAAGATTTCCTTAATGAGATCAGAGCACTTACGGAGATCCGTCACCGTAACGTCGTGAAGCTCTTCGGATTCTGCTCGCATCGGCGCAACACTTTTCTGGTGTACGAATACATGGAGAGAGGGAGTTTGAGGAAAGTACTGTCGAACAATGAAGAAGCGCAGATTTTGGATTGGAGTAGAAGGATCAAGGTGGTGAAAGGTGTGGCTCATGCTTTGTCGTATATGCATCATGATCGGTCTCCGCCAATTGTTCACCGTGATATTACCAGTGGAAACATTCTTCTCGACGGAGATTATGAAGCCAAGATCTCCGATTTCGGTACTGCGAAGCTTCTCAAGCCCGATTCTTCGAATTGGTCCGCCGTTGCTGGAACCTACGGCTACGTTGCTCCAGGTATCTTCTTCTTTTTACCCCGTTAGATTAAATGGATCTGAATTTTGGAATAAAATGGGTCGGGTGGGGTTTGGTTGACCCATTTTATTGGAGTGGGTCGGTTTCGGTTTACGAAATTCATAAAGCAAATAAAAACCAAAATTTTCGCACTCTGGTTCGTTTCTGATTATAAGATAAAAATGGATCTGGCTTTGGCCTAAAACAGGTCGGGTCGGGTCTAAAATCAGATGGGATTTTTTTATTCGGTTTTTTTTAACCAAATACAAAAAAAACCAAAATGTTTTGTTTTAGTTTGATAAATTTTGGTGCAGGTTCACCTTTAAACAAAAATAATAATTTACAAAAATAAAGAAACAATTAGAGTCAATATTCTATCATGTAATGTCACTACAATAATTTATTTTTGATGTATATAACTTTTGAAATGTAAATTATTAATAAACTATGGATTATTTGGTTACAGAATCGGTTATGCTTGAGTTTTGTTTTTTCTCTTTTAAATAATAAAAGTGATTGGAATATAAATAAATCTTAGTTCAGTCTTTGTCTCGGTTCAAGCATTTTAATTTAGATTTATCTCGGTTTGGTTAAGTTGGTTTTAAAACTTTGATTTTGGATTTAGTTTTTTTTTGTTATCTTTATTTAATATAGTATGTTTTATGAAATTGAATGTTACAGAACTAGCTTACGCAATGAAAGTGACAGAGAAATGCGATGTGTATAGTTTCGGAGTATTGACTCTTGAAGTTATCAAAGGAGAGCATCCTGGCGATCTAGTTTCAACTTTGACATCATCTCCTCCAGACAAAAGTCTGTCAGTGAAGGGAATTTCCGATCGCCGGTTACCGGAGCCAACGCCGGAGATCAAAGATGAGATCTTAGAGCTCGTGAAAGTTGCACTTTTGTGTTTACATTCTGATCCAAATTCTCGACCAACAATGCTATCTATCTCCACCGCATTTGCTTAAAATTACTCTTTTGTGGTGACTCCCCTAAGAAGAAATTGATCCCACGTACTTTGTAGTTAATAATGATCCTATGTTTTCATGATTATTTGTCAATATTTTTGCATCATTGGATGTTACTTATATTTGACACGATTCTGTTTGTTAGAGATCAATTATATAATTGTTCGGAAGCAAATTTCAAGATGTCATGTGGGGGTGTGTGATTCGTCGGGGATGGAGCTGTGTTTCCGAGTTTTGTTCTCTGGGGGGAAAAACGGCGAGTCGTTCTAGGGCGGAAGCTTCTGATGCTGGAGTGACGGGATGAACGCCGCACTTCGTCCTGTAAACACTCAAAGAAATGTCAGACGGGCCTCCGGGAAGACCGAAAGCGGGTTTCTCTCCCAAAGATTCTCCGACACCCAAGTCAGTTGACATCATACCGGAAACAAGTATTCAGGAAGGGAGATTTCTATGGATTAGAATAAGGTTCTTATCTGTTTTCGGGTGTTTCGCAGGGATTTCTACATGATAAAAGAAGACGGAGCGAGTATGAAGGTGATATCTCTTGTATTTACACAATTTAGGCTTGCATTTAGTGCATGTTTTAGTTCTCTTTTGCATATCTTCCTTATCTTTTGTCCAATTTTCTTCTCCTTTTAGACTTATGTTGCATTTAGGATGTAGCTTGCATTTTCTTTGCATAAAAGATGTTTTTAGGTACTCATGAAGCTATGAGGAGCATGGAGGAGCTTTGGGAGTTGACCAGGAAGTTGGCTGAGCTGAGTTGAGCAAGAGGAACCAAGGCAGACGATCTCTGCAGAGCCTATCGGTCAGAGCACAAAGGCTATCGGTCAAGGAGTGGCCGATATAAGACCTATCGATCATTCCTATCGGTCAGAGAAGTGACCGATAGAAGTGCACCGTGTATATTTCGGTCACCATATCGGTCATCTTCCAGATCGATAGGATCCCTATCGATCATTCATATCGGTCACAACTGACCGATAGGATCCCAGACCGAGAACCACTTATTTACAATTTTGCCATTTCCGCTTGGACTCTTTTAAATACGAAAAATCCTTAATTTCTGGGAACAGTCTTTTATCCATCAGTTCTTTCTTCTTTGTTTGGACCTTTGGGTTTTGTAATTTGAATCTTTGCTTGGTTTTAATTAAAGTTTGCATTTTCATCTTGTTTAATCTCTCTAATCATGATTAGTCATCTTTCTCTCTTTGAATTGATGGCTTTAATGGTGTTTAGTGAGTAGTCCTTTTTAGGAATTTGAGATGGGTTAGGTTTAGGAAATTTGAGACTTAATCTATGATGTCTTAGTGTTAATCATTCCATTTCCTTTCTTGATTTCTGTTTTTAATGATTAATTAGCCCTAGCTAAGTTGATTAAGATCTTAGACTCATTTTATGCCCACCAAGTGTTTGATGAAATGTCTGAATTGCTTTGCAAGAGAATTGCTTATCCTAGCTCAAGATATTGACTGTCTAGGGAGTGATTTGGCAATATAGGATTGATAGAATTGTTTTAATGCTTGCTGTTTATCATTTCACTAATGAGAATTAGTTCTTGACTTGGTAATTAGCAAAGGGATTAGTACCAAGAGATTGGATTAGTCATATAAATGAATCCTATGCATAAGGAATATCATTGTGTGAGTTTGTAAGCATCATAGGTTGAGTCAAGAGTTCCCTAATACCAATTATCTCATCTCAAGTCTCATCTTTTCTCTGTTTTTAGCTTGAATTCGGATTTGCCCTGTTTTGCCTTTGTTCTAGTTGTTTTGCTTGCTTCTCACTCTTTGTTTGATGTTCTCTTCATTTCTGTTTGATCCTTTAGGTTGTTAGACTTCTAATCTATCTATGTTTGCTTGAATTAAGAGCTCTATTGCATTCTTGCTGCTTTATTCTCCCCTTTTGGATTGATAAAACCCTATGCTATACTACAATTGATTAGGTCAAGCTTGGGTGATTGAATCAAGTCCTAAAAAATCTTGTATCAATTTGGCGCCGTTGCCATTATGGGAAAGCTTTGTTCAGTAGGAATTGTAGAGATCTTGAGATCAAGCTTTGTTATTTTCGTTTTTGGTTACTGACTTCTCTTTTGGTCTAGAATTTCTTTTGTAGGTACCACAACACTTGCTCTTAAGTGTCTACAACTACAACTGAGGTTCAAGGTCAAAGATTTGGGTTTGTAGAATTAGAATTCAGCTGTTGAAGAATGGAAGAACATCAGTATGCTGTTGGTTTTGGTTTGCAAGATCCACAAGGTCCACAAGGTCTTCAAGGGATTTAAGGCTTACAAGGACAGCAAGGTCCACATGGTTTACAAGGAGCTTTGTTTCAGAGACCATTGAGACCTATTGGTGCTGCTGATATACCTTCAAGTTATGCTTCAAGACAAGGTATTCTTCCACCCATGGAGACTCATCACTATGAGATCAAAAGCAGCATGATTAATATGGTTCAAGAGAGGAAGTTCTTTGGATTGCCCAACCAAGACCCCTTCGAGCACTTGGATCACTTTGAGAGGATATGTAGTTTGAAAAAGCTTAATGGAGTTTCAGAAGATGGTTTGAAGCTCAGATTATTTCCATTCTCTCTTGGTGATAAAGCTAAATTATGGGAGAAATCTTTAGCACAAGGAAGCATCACTTCTTGGGAACAATGCAAAGGTGCTTTCTTAGTCAAGTTCTTCTCTCCCTCAAGAACCGCACATTTCAGGAATGAGATCACAAACTTTAAACAGTGGTCTACTGAAAGCTTTGGAGACACTTGGGACAGATTCATAGGCTTCACTCACCAATGCCCTCACCATGACTTTCCCAAAGAGATGCTGCTTTCCACACTATACAGAGGTGTTCTCCCAACAATAAGAATTCTTCTAGATACTGCAAGCAATGGCTACTTTCTTGGTAAAGATGTTGATAAAGGATGGCTTTTAGTGGAGAACATGGCACTCAATAATTGGGATTATGTAGATAATAAAGAGCAACACTCTAAGTCAACTGAAGAGAAGCTAGAAGCCTTGCAGAAGAAAGTTGACTTGCTGCTCAATGAGACCACTAAACCTCTTTCTAGTGCTGCTTCCCAACACCACTACAAAGAGCATCAGGTCAAAGCTGTTCAACTACAAGAGGCGCCAACAATGAACCAAGACCATGATGTTTGTGTACACCAGTCCTATAGAGACACTCATACTAAACAACATCGAGGTTCTTCTTCTCAAGAAGTTGGCACCACCACCTCCCAACCTTCTCAAACATCGGACCTTAAGGACATGTTCCTGAAACTTCAGCAACTTCAGAATGCAGAATTTCAGAAGATCATGGATGTTGAGATTCAAAAGAATATGCTTGACATTCACAAAAGCATGACTGATGAAATACACAAAGGCATTGACTCTAGCTTGCAGTCCCAACTAGGTTCCTTGAATATGAAGATCAGCAAACTAGAAAGCATGACTCAACCATCTACCTCTTCACTAGCACAAGAGTGTGTCAAAGCTGTTATTCTAAGAAGTGGGAAGCAACTTCCACCAAGAGTGGCACCTTCTACACCCAATGTGGACATTGAGGAACAAGAAGAGGGGGTGGAGGTTAAAGAAAATTAAGAAGCTCAAGAGGATGAAGTAGTTGAGGTTGGTGAAGGTTCAAACAACACCAAAGCCAAAGAAGTGGTTAAGGAAAAACCAAAGGAAGCATCTAAGGAGTTGATCAAGGAAACAAGATACATACCTCCTCCTTATCAACCCACAATACCTTTTCCTGGAAGGTTTAAGAAGCAGCTGGTTGCTAAATACAAAGGACTCTTTGAGAACAGATGAAGAAGATCCAGCTCACAATGCCACTATTAGATGCCTTTGTTCTGGTTCCTCCTTATCAGAAATTCCTGAATGATGCTGTTGATGAAAGAACCAAAGACCTGGAAGGGATGGTGGTCCTCACACATGAATGTAGCGCCATTATTCAACAGAAGAGAGTGACTCCTAACAAGCTAGGATATCCAGGGAGCTTTACCTTACCCTGCTCTATAGGTCCACTATTATTTGATAAATGTTTGTGTGATCT